TTGTTCAGGTCGGGTTGCGGGGGGGTAATGTCACGTATTCATCCGCTTGAAAAAATGTGATTAATGGAAATTACTGTTCAGACAGGAGAAGTTGTGCCGAACAATATTACTGTCCTGACACGAAAAGTTGTGCCGAGCAGCAATCAAATCCACAGGAGGGTTTGTGCTGAGCAGCAATTATGCAAATCGGAACCTGGTAACTGCCTTTGGGGTCAAAGGCCGATTACAGCCTATCAGATCCAGAGGAGGGGTATTTAGGGTCAGTTCTCATCCTGCTCAGTACCCTGTCGTGGTTTTCCTTGTGGTTGTCCGAGAGCGCGTTATTGATTCTGGTAATTCTGGTTATTTGACTTTGGCATTGTTTTTGACTTCCCTGTTTTCTGGCATCCCTGATCCCTGGCTTTTCCTTATCGTTGTGTCTCTTTCTGTATCCCTTGACCTCGGCTATTCCTGACTATTCTTTGGTACGTTAGTCCGCCCATTCTAAGGTCTGGTATACGCTACCTATCAGTCCTCTGTGTTACACAATTCTATGTGCTGGATCATACTGTAATCCTGACAGTCCCATACCCTCCCTCTCTCCCCCTCCCCTGCATGTGTCCCATTCTGCCCTCTCCCCCCCCCTTCCTTGTAACCCATACCCTCTCTCCCTCCATGTATCCCATTGTTCCCTCTCTACCCCCTCCCCTCCAAGTGTCCCATTTCTCCCTCTCTTCCCCCTCCCCTCCATGTGTCCCATACCCCCATCTCTCCCTCCTCCCCTCCCTGTGTCCCATACCTTCATCTCTCCCTCCCTCCCTATGCCCAATACCCTTCATCTCTCCTTTCCCTCCTGTGTCCAATGCCCTTCATCTCTCCCTCCCTCCTGTGTCAAATACCTTTCATTTCTCCCCCCTTCTCCCCTCTGTCTCATTCCTACTTCTCTCCCCCTCCCCCCTGTGTCCCATATCCTCCCTCTCTCCCCTCCATGTGTCTCATTGTTCCCTCCTTCCCTCCAGGTGTCCCATACACTCCATTTCTCACCCCTCCCAGAGTCTCAAACCCTCCATTTTCTCCTCCCCTCCCTGTGTCCCATACCCTTCATCTCTCCCCCTCCCCTCCCTATGCCCAATACCCTTCATCTCATCCCCTTCTCCCCCTCTGTCTCATTCCTACCTCTCTCCCCCTCCCCTCCCTGTCTCCCATTTCTCACTCTTTCCCCCTCCCCTCCCTGTGTCCCATTTCTCACTCTTTCCCCCCTCCCTGTATCCCATACCCTCCATTTCTCCCCCCTCTCCTCCCCTCCCTGTATCCCATACCCTCCATTTCTGCCCCCTCCCCTTCCTATATCCAATACCCTCTCTCTCTGCCCCCTCCCCTTCCTGTATCCCATACCCTCTCTCTCTCCCCCCATCCCTTCTGTACCTTACTGGCCACAATTCCCAGTCTTACAGGAAGTGCTCTAACAGTGAGTATTTCCTGTCAGACCACTTGGCCACGCTACACACAGGCAGTAGGGGAGCAGCACAATGCAGCTCTCCCTTTCTGCCAGACATCCGGGAACCACGAAATCAGGCCGATGCGGCTGTGCACTGGCCCATAAGGTATTCGGGCGGCCCACAGTCGCAGGGGTTGTGGCTGTGGCTAAGCCCCCTGGAGTGAGTGGCCTGGTCACAGCTGCGACCCCTGTGACTGTGGTAGGTACGCCTGTGGAGGGGAGAGAGGGGGGTTTGGGACACAGGGAGGGGGAGAGAGGTAGAAATGAGACACAGGTAGAGAAGGGGGGTAGATGAAGGGTATGGGACACAGGGAGGGGAGAGATGAAGGGTATGGGACAAATGGAGGGGAGGTGAGAGAGATGGGGGTATGGAACACAGGGGAGGGGAGCAGGGAGAGAGGGAGCAATGGGACACATGAAGGGGAAGAGAGGGAGGGAATGGGACACATGGAAGGGAGGGGAGGAGGGAAGGTATGGAACACATGGAAGGGAGGGGAAAAGAGGGCAGAATGGGACACATGGGGGAGGGGGGAGAGAGGGAGGGTATGGGACACAGGGAGGGGAGAAGGAGAAATGGGACACATGGACGGGCTGGGAGGGAGGAGGGTATGAGACACATAGAGGGGCTAAGGGGAAAGGGAATGGGACACATGAAGGGACTGGAGAAGGAGACACATGGAGGGGCTGAGGGGGGAGAGGGAATAGGACACATGGAGGGGCTGTTGGGACATATGGGGGGCCTGGGCCTGTGGGGACACTGTGGGGACACAAAGGGCCTATGGGACACATGGAGGGGCTGAGAGGGGAGATGGAATGGGACACATGGAGGGGCTGTGGGGCGGAGGGAATGAGGCGCAGGGGGGGCCTGGGCACGAGAATGAGACACCGAGGGGTGTGTGACACATGGGAGGGGTCCCAGTGGATTATAGTCACACCTCTGTAATGGGACTTCATAATACTCGGGGGCAAAGATGTGTCCCCAGTAAGTAATGAGGTCCAAATGAGTAGCATTCCTCACAAACAAATCAGCTATCAAAGACCATGAGTAGCTTTTTGTGTGTATGAGGAATCCTGTTGTGTATGTGTTGTCTCATTCCTACCACTCTCCCCTATCCACCCTGTGTCCCATACCCTCCCTCTCTCCCCACTCCCCTCCCAGTGTCCCAAACCCTCCAATTTCCCCCTCCCCTCCTTGTGTCCCATACCCTTCCTCTCTCCCCTCTATGTCTCCCATCGTTCCCACTCTCCCCCTCCCCTCCCTGTGCCCCATTGTTCCCTATCACCCCACTCCCCCCCAGGTGTCTCATACACTCCATTTCTCACCCCTCCCTGTGTCCCATACCCTCCATCTCTCCCCACTCCCCTCCCAGTGTCCGAAACCCTCCATTTTCCCCCTCCCCTCCCTGTGTCCCATACCCTCCCTCTCTCCCCTCCATGTCTCCCATTGTTCCCTCTCTCTCCCTCTCTCCCCTCCCTGTATCCCATACCCTCCATTTCTCCCCCCTCTCCTCCCCTCCCTGTATCCCATACCCTCCATTTCTGCCCCCTCCCCTTCCTATATCCAATACTCTCTCTCTCTGCCCCCTCCCCTTCCTGTATCCCATACCATCTCTCTCTCCCCCATCCCTTCTGTACCTTACTGGCCACAATTGCCAGTCTTACAGGAAGTGCTCTAACAGTGAGTATTTCCTGTCAGACCACTTGACCACGCTACACACAGGCAGTAGGGGAGCAGCACAGTGCAGCTCTCCCTTTCTGCCAGACATCCGGGAACCACGAAATCAGGCAGATGCGGCTGTGCACTGGCCCATAAGGTATTCGGGTGGCCCACAGTCGCAGGGGTTGTGGCTGTGGCTAAGCCCCCTGGAGTGAGTGGCCTGGTCACAGCTGCGACCCCTGTGACTGTGGTAGGTACACCTGTGGAGGGGAGAGAGGGGGGTTTGGGACACAGGGAGGGGGAGAGAGGTAGAAATGAGACACAGGGAGGGAAGGGGGATAGATGAAGGGTATGGGACACAGGGAGGGGGAGAGATGAAGGGTATGGGACAAATGGAGGGGAGGTGAGAGAGATGGGGGTATGGAACACAGGGGAGGGGAGGGGGAGAGAGGGAGAAATGGAACACCTGGAGCGGAGCAGGGAGAGAGGGAGCAATGGGACACATGAAGGGGAAGAGAGGGAGGGTATGGGACACATGTAAGGGAGGGGAGGAGGGAGAGAAGGTATGGGACACATGGGGGGAGGGGGGAGAGAGGGAGGGTATGGGACACAGGGAGGGGAGAAGGAGAAATGGGACACATGGATGGGGCTGTTAGGGAGGAGGGTATGAGAAACATAGAGGGGCTAAGGGGAAAGGGAATGGGACACATGAAGGGGCTGGAGAAGGAGACACATGGAGGGGCTGAGGGGAGAGAGGGAATAGGACACATGGAGGGCCTGTGGGGACACTGTGGGGACACAAAGGGCCTATGGGACACATGGAGGGGCTGAGAGGGGAGATGGAATGGGACACATGGAGGGGCTGTGGGGCAGAGGGAATGAGGCGCGGGGGGGCCTGGGCGCAAGAATGAGACACCGAGGGGGGGGGATGAGACACATGGGAGGGGGCCCAGTGGATTATAGTCACACCTCTGTAATGGGACTTTATAATACTTTGGGGCAAAGATGTGTCCCCAGTAAGTAATGAGGTCCAAATGAGTAGCATTCCTCACAAACAAATCAGCTATCAAAGACCATGAGTAACTTTTTGTGTGTATGAGGAATCCTGTTGTGTATGTGTTGTCTCATTCCTACCACTCTCCCCCATCCACCCTGTGTCCCATACGCTCCCTCTCTCCCCACTCCCCTCCCAGTGTCTCAAACCCTCCAATTTCCCCCTCCCCTCCTTGTGTCCCATACCCTTCCTCTCTCCCCTCTATGTCTCCCATTGTTCCCACTCTCCCCCCTCCCCTCCCTGTGCCCCATTGTTCCCTATCACCCCCTCCTCCCCAGGTGTCCCATACACTCCATTTCTCACCCCTCCCTGTGTCCCATACCCTCCATCTCTCCCCAATCCCCACTCCCCTCCCAGTGTCCGAAACCCTCCATTTTCCCCCTCCCCTCCCTGTGTCCCATACCCTCCCTCTCTCCCCTCCATGTCTCCCATTGTTCCCTCTCTCTCTCCCTCTCTCCCCTCCCTGTTTCCCATACCGTCCATTTCTCCCCCCTCTCTTCCCTCCCTGTATCTCATACCCTCCATTCTGCCCCCTCCCCTTCCTGTATCCCATACCCTCTCTCTCTGCCCCCTCCCCTTCCTGTATCCCATACCCTCTCTCTCTCTCCCCCATCCCTCCTTTACCTTACTGGCCACAGTTCCCAGTCTGACAGGAATTGCTCTAACAGTGAGTATTTCCTGTCAGACCACTCGGCCACGCTACACACAGGCAGGAGGGCAGCAGCACAGTGCAGCTCTCCCTTTCTGCCAGACATCCGGGAACCACAAACTCAGGCCAATGCGGCTGTGCACTGGCCCATAAGGTATTCAGGTGGCCCACAGTCGCAGGGGTCATGGCTGTGGCCGGGCACCCTGGAGTGGGTGGCCTGGTCGCAGCTGCGACCCCTGTGACTGTGGTAGGTACGCCTGTGGAGGATGAGAGAGTGGGGGTTTGGGACACAGGGAGGGAGATTGAGGTAGGAATGAGACACAGGAAAGGAAGGGGGATAGATGAAGGGTAGGGGACACAGTGAGGGGAGGGGGAGAGATGAAGGGTATGTGACACAGGGAGGGGAGGTGAGAGAGATGGGGGGTATGGAACACAGGGGAGGAGGAGAGAGGGAGAAATGGGACACCTGGAGGGGAGGGGAAGAGAGGGAGGGTATGGGACACATGCAAGGGAGGGGAGGAGGGAGAGAGGGTATGGGATACATGGAAGGGAGGGGGAGAGAGGGCAGAATGGTACACATGGGGGGGGAGAGAGGGAGGGTATTGAACACAGGGAGGGAAAAGGAGAAATGGGACACATGGATGGGGCTGGGAGGGAGGAGGGTATGAGAAACATAGAGGGGCTAAGGGGAAAGGGACCCTTGAAGGGGCTGGAGGAGGTGACACATGGAGGGGCTGAGGGGAGAGGGAATAGGACACATGGATGGGCTGTGGGGACACATGGGGGGGGCTGGGCCTGTGGGGACACTGTGGGGACACAAGGGGCCTATGTGACACATGGAGGGGCTGAGGGGGGAGAGGGAATGGGACACATGGAGGGGCTGTGGGGCAGAGGGAATGAGGCACATAGGGGGGCCTGGGCACGAGAATGAGACACCGACGGGGGGGGATGAGACATATGGGAGGGGGCCCAGTGGATTATAGTCACACCTCTGTAATGGGAATTTATAATACTTGGGGGCAAAGATGTGTCCCCAGTAAGTAATGAGGTCCAAATGTGTAGCATTCCTCACAAACAAATCAGCTATCAAAGACCATGAGTAACTTTTCGTGTGTATGAGGAATCCTGTTGTGTATGTGTTGTCTCATTCCTACCACTCTCCCCTATCCACCCTGTGTCCCATACCCTCCCTCTCTCCCCACTCCCCTCCCAGTGTCCCAAACCCTCCAATTTCCCCCTCCCCTCCTTGTGTCCCATACCCTTCCTCTCTCCCCTCTATGTCTCCCATCGTTCCCACTCTCCCCCTCCCCTCCCTGTGCCCCATTGTTCCCTATCACCCCACTCCCCCCCCAGGTGTCTCATACACTCCATTTCTCTGTAATTTTCCTTTGATATTGGACTGCCACACTTTAGTGAGCAACTGCTATGTACACCCTCTGGCAAAAATAGTGTATAGTATGCCAACTTCTGCTTGTAAGCCCACACTTGCAGGGACATTGAATTGAACGTGAAACAGAATTAAATTAGCACAAATGTGATAAGCAATGACTGTTTTCAGCTCTAAAGGTTAGTGATTAAATGATACATTGCAGGGGCTGTAAGTAGGCAAAAGATCATGATCAGTTTTCATTTACTTGGTTTCCTATGAAAGCAATATCTAATAAACTGAACTCCATGTCTTTCCTCTTCCTAATACTGATCCACTTCTTTCGCACTCCCTTCAAGTGAGTGGTGTTATACTTGATTCTGGCCTCATATTTAAACCTCACATCCAGTCTGTTACCAAATCCTGTAGATTCCACCTTAAAACATAGCCCACATCCACCCCTTTCTTACACAATTCTACTAAGGAGCTTGTCCATGCTCTAGTAATCTCTCACATGGATTATTGTAACTTTCTCCTAATAGGTCTTCCCAAAAGTCGTATTGCTCCGCTACAGTCTGTAATGAATGCTGCAGCTAGACTGATTTTCCTCTCCTGTGGCTCCTCTCACACCTCTCCTCTCTGTCAGTCCTTACATTGGCTTCCTGTATCCTATAAGAGTCAATTCAAGGTACTAATCCACACCTATAAAGCACTGACCAATTCTAGCCCCTCCTATATTTCTTTACTGATCCGCAGGTATGCCCTTTTTCGGTCTCTCCACCTCAATCTCTCTCACTCACGCTTACAGCACTTCTCACTGGTGGCTCCTTTCCTTTGGAATAGCCTGCCTATGACAATCAAGCTCACCTCTAGTAATCAATCATTTAAAAAGTGCCTCAAAACCCATCTCTTTAGGAAAGCTTATGGCCTCCCAGAGTAACCTATACCACACATACCTGTCATTTGCTCTCTCCTAAAGGGCAGCACTCTATTCTCTCCTCCAGCTCTGCTTCACTACACCTTCTTTGATTGTTACCTCCTGTCCTGTTGGGATTTACGCCCACCTCCTATAGACTGTAAGTTCGTTTGAGCAGGGCTGGCTTCAACCTATTGTTCCTGTAAGTTTTTGTAATTGTCTTATTTATTGTTAAATCTCCCCCTTTTAATAATATTGTAAAGTGCTTCGAAATATTCTGGCGCTATATAAAAACCAGTAATAATAATAATAAAAAAATAATATATATAAAAAAATGTGATGGAAAAAAATTTAAAATAGCTCATATCTTTTACTTTATGTCAAATGTTGTGTTATCTTGACTAACCAATATATAGAATAATTTTAAATCAATCCTTACATGCATTATACATTTTTCTAGGTCATCTCATTGGAACTTTATAATATTTTGGGGCAAATAAGTCAGCTCAGTGTGTGATGAGGTCCAAATTGGTAGCCTTCTTCCATAATTAAATCATACGGGTTCTCTAAGACCATTAGTAACCGTTAGTAACTTTTGGTGTATATGAATATCTATTATATATGTGTTGGTGAGAAAATCCTTGTGCCGACTTGTAATTTTCCTTTGATATTGGACTGCCACACTTTGTTGAGCAACTTCTATGTACACCCTCTGTCAAACATAATCAGTGTAATGCGCCAACTTCTGCTTGTGAGCCCACATTTTCAGGGACATTATACTGAATGTGAAACAGAAGTAAATTAGCACTGACTGTTTTCAGCTCTAAAGGTCAGTGATTAAATGATAAATGTTTTGCGGGGGCTGTAAGTAGGCAAAAGATCATGATCAGTTTTGATTTAATTGGACTCCTAGCAAGACAATATCTAATAAAATAACCCCCAGAAAATGTTCTGGAAACAAATGTACAATAGTTCATATATTTTACTTTATGTCAAATATTTTGTTTTTCTGATTACCCAGTTCATAGAATAATTCTAAAATAATTTAAAAAAATTTAAAAAAATATTTAGTTATTCTGATTAACCAATATATAGAATAATTTAAATAAATCCTTACATGCCTTATATTTTTTTTCTAGGTACACTTATGAATACACAAGAAGACACAGAAAAGATGACTTGTACATGGTGCTGAATTCTGTTTCAGAATTTGAATCATCTGTAAAACAGTGCTGCCAAGAGATTGCCAACCCCAGTTGTTTTTCTGAAAAATTATCAATGTTTGGTGTTTCTTTTCCTTCCTAGGCATTAGCCTCTTATTTGCTATGAGCATTCATGAAAAATAAATTTTGATGAAAATAAACAAAAATTTATATTTAAATGCTAATTATATTTTGTATGTGAAGCACCAATAATATAATTTCTGGCATACACAAAGGGAGAGCAGTAGGTATAAAACAGAAGTGTATAATACATTTTAAAAAAAATAGGCACTATAGGCACTGTTCTTTCACAAGATTTTATTCTAAATAATTAAAAGACTTGGAAATATAAATAGCATCAGGAATTCGAAAGAGCTGAGAACTTTGTGCAACTTTTATGAGTACAGTTGCTTTGGAAAATGTGCTAAAACTTGAAATATTCAATGTATCGAAGAGCATTTTTTTCTTTTCACAATATAAATAATAGATTGAATTCTTATAATATGTTAAATTCCAATTTGATAGTGTAACGAGCTGTGTAGAACATTTATAAGGTAAATGATGTGCAAACATTTTAAATGAATAGAGGAATTTTAAGTCAGTCACTGAACAGTTGTTCGGTAGGGATATTGTTATTGCTGTTGCTATAAAAACTTCTAGATTGGGACAGGACAAAAGAGAGTTCTTATAAATGTGAAACAAAACAAAAACAACTAAACTATAATAAACTCACATAAAACATTTGTATTCTAACAAAGTTACATCTACTAAAACATTTATAAATATGAAATTAAATCTGTAGCTAAAATATTAAACTCAAATGTACACTGATCAGCCACAACAATTAATACTACCTGCCTAATATCATGTAGGTCCATTTCATGCTGCCAAAACTGCTCTTATGCATTGAGACATGCACTCCACAAGACTGCTGAACATGTTCTGTGGCATCTAGCACCAAAACATAACAGCAGATCCTATTAGTCCTGCAAGTTGCGAATTGGACACTCCATAGATCAAAATCTGTTGTTCCAGCACTCCCCACAGATGCTTAATCAGATTGAGATCTGGGGAATTTGGAGGGCAAGGCAACACCTTGAACGCGTTCTCATTTTCCTCAAACCATTCTTTAACATTTTTTGCAGTATGGCAGGTTGCATTATCCTGCTGAAAAAGACCACTGCAATCAGAGAACATCATTGTCATGAAGAGGTGTACATTGTCTGAAACAATCTCTAGGAAGGTGGTACATGTCAAAGTAACATTCACATGAATGCCAAGACCTAAGGTTTCCCAGCAGAACATTGCCCAGTGCATAACACAGCCTGCCTTTTCCCATAGTTCATCCTGCTGCCATCCTGCAGCCATCCGGGAACTTTCTTTGATTGCTCCATGGTTCACTGCCGATGCTCATGTTCCCATTGAAAGCACTTTTGATGGTGGACAGGGGTCATCATGGCCACTCTGATTGGTCTATAGCTTTGCAGCTCCATACACAGTAAACTGTAATGCACTGTGTGTTGTGACACCTTCCTATTAAGGCCATCATTATGTTTTTCAGCAATTTGAGCTATAGTGTCACATATTCATCCGCTTATAGAAATGTGGTTAATGGCATTTACTGTCCACACAGGAAAAGTTGTGCCGAGCAGCAACCTAATCCACAGAAGGGTTAATGCTGAGCAGTAATTGTGCAAATGAAACCTGGTGTCATGTATTCATCCGCTTAGAGAAAAGTGATTAATGACATTTACTGTCCACACAG